AAATAGAAATCAATATTCGCCAAAGTTAAGAAGAAAAATATATTGGAAAGATGAGGGTTGGTTGCTAGGAATAATACCAAAAATCAATACATAAACATTAATATTTCTAGTTAGGTATATTAGTTGAGGAGAAACATGGATCAATAAAGGAGTACACAAAATCGTAAATGGAAAATCAGGGAGTCTATCAATTCTTTCACCATAGTGTCAGAAGCCAGTCAGTAACAGCAGAAGGTTAACCTCTGAGGCACAAAGTTCAAATCAGCAAGGGAATCTTCAACTTGGAAATTTTCTCAAGTGCATGGATGAGGGTTACAACCTTGCATCAACAAAGAAGCAAATTAAGTCAATTTTGCTCCTTAAACACAAAACTAACAGAATGAAGAGTTGTATTTTACACACAACACCTGCAACAATTTTATGTCTAGATTTTTTACATTTGCATGTAAATGGGTATTTGACTGTGGCCAAAAGGGACAACTGTGTCAGCAGTCAGGACTTGAGAATTTAGGATATAAGGCTGTAGAATTTGAAATAGACACAGTACCACACAAATTGTGGATCGATTGCCATCAGACGAGCCCTCATTTTCCACCATTTCTAATATAACAATAAGTGCAACATTGTCCTGAAAAATTGCGTACAAGAAGCTGATATAACAAACAAATGGGAAGCAGAAACAAAAGCCTCACTAGAACAGAATGCACATTAAAAACCATACAAGAAGCTGATATAACAAACAAATTGGAAGTGTTTCTAACCCTCCAAACTACCTCTCTCACTCTTTTAACATGTTCTGTTGCATCTAATATAACCAGGAAGATTGCCATTGATTTAAAATCATAATGTTCTTTTTAAAAGGAATATAATTCGATGCTCCCTCCCCCTATTAGATTTTACTTGAAAATATATCAGCACAAGTAAACATACATACTAGTATACAATTAAATGTCACTTGTAAATTTAGGCCTAGAAACAAGCCTTATATGGTAGCTTGAAGGATCGCTCTTCGATCAGCCAGCCAAAACATACACCACTTTGAACCCATTTTCATGCTTTTCAACAAACTCCTGGAGTAACCTATACAAAACAACTTTTAATCACTTGTAAACAAGAAATGCAACCCACAAGCTTTGAGACAGTTCCTATACCTCTTTGCAACAGTCAAAGACACCAAGTAATTTCAACTCATCCACTTGTAGGAAACCTATAACATAATTAAGCATCGAAAGTAACTAAATTTAGACAATCTTGTACAAATTTAAACACATCTTAACTCAAATTCCAATCAAGAATTTTTTTAGTAGGTATACATGAAATTGAATGTATAATCAATCCTAAATGCCCCACCAAAGGAATAAAACCTTCATCCCCTGCACTCAGTCACCAAACTACTGCTCCACTTCAATGATTCAATATGCGCCTTCCCCCAATTAAGGTAAACAAAATTTAGTTTCCTTTTTTGGGACAAAAGGGAGAATATAACACAAAGATGACATCATAAAGATCCCCAAACACCAAGGTACAAGCACAAAAACTAAAACAAGCTTTGAATCAAATGGAGGATTGGAGTAGGAGGGATTGGGGGCGCCATGAATTATACACATGGAGAATTGGAGAATAATGCACATGCTTTTGTAATTGGTCGGTTTCAAAACCCAAATTAAGGTACTCAATTTAATTTATCTTCTGAGTATAACATAAAAAAGGTGTGTGTATGTGAATGTGATATGGGTTCTTCCCAATTTCATCCTAGCAACAAAAAAAAATATTTTTATTACAGTCATTCATCAAACAAGGTTGGTTTAATCTCTTCTAATGTGCATGCAACATTCTATGACCTCTTGCCGCATTCTATAACCCATATTAAGGTACAAATGTTTGATTAAAGTGCACAACAAACAGATCTTTTCTCAGAATTCACAGAGAGCTAGAGATTAAAATTAAATAACTGAAAAAATATATATGAGAAATTAAGAGGGCTATGTGATAAGAAATTAATTAACTTTAAAAAACAGAGACCTGTGAAATTGGGGGAAAAAGGCAGCAGATTTTTACCTCTGTGATGGCTGTCAAGACAGCGAGGCGGGCAAGTGCTTGACGGCGAGGTTGCGGGGCTGTAAGGATGCAAAGATGCAACCTGTGAGGGTTTGCAAGGCTGCAAGAGAGAGTGGTGTGAATGATGATGACTGACTGAGAGTGAGGGAGACGGAGGCGCGGGGAGGAACACAGGCAAAGAAGAAGAAGTGAAGAAACACCTAAGGTTAGTGGCAGAAACCAAAAAAACAGTGGAATTGGGCTCGGGTATGCAGGGGTGGAGGCGCTTGGAAATTTCTGAAGAGGAAAGGCAGAGAAGCTGCGATAGAGAAATGAAGAAGAGGAGATTTTGGGCACCATGCCAAAATTTTGGCAGCCTTCCAAAATTTAATCTCCTGCCTCCTTCAAATGTTTTTAATTATGTATGATTACTTTTTTTTTCTTTGTCACAATGTATGATTCTATTAAAATCTATTGTTTTGATAGGATACACATTCTATGAAACTAATTTCAACGATCCAACCGTCAAACTTGTTTGTATATACTTCGAGATCTCATATGCCAAAAATCGCAACAAACAAACATTCAGAGATCAAGTAACGGGATAAAACTTTTCAACGATTATAAACGAAAAATCACGATTTAACGGTAGTTTTAACTCCGATTTTGATTATTTTTATAGCTACACTTCTTGATCCTATATGAATACAATGAACTAATTCGATCGTCAATTTAAAATATTTACACTAGTGGAAACCACAAAATCTTATGTTATACTTAATGAAAGTATAGATAAACTCCAAATGTTAGTGAATCTATTGTTTTGATGCAATACACATTCTACGAAATTAGTTTCAACGATCCAACCGTCAAACTTGTTTGTATATGCTTCGAGATCGCATATGCCAAAAATCACAAAAAACAAACATTCAGATATCAAGTAATGGGACAAACCTTTTCGACGGTTATAAACGAAAAATCATGATTTAACGGTTATTTTAACTCTGATTTTGATGATTTTTTACAGCTACACTCCTTAACCCTATATGAATACAATAAACTAATTCGATCGTCTATTTAAAACATTTACACAAGTGGATACTACAAAATCTTATGTTATACTTAATGGAAGTATAAATAAACTCCAAGTGTTAGTAAATCTATTGTTTTGATGGGATATGCATTGTACGAAACTAGTTTCAATGATTCAACTGTCAAACTTGTTTGTATATGCTTCAAGATCGCATACGCCAAAAATCGCAAAAAACAAACATTCAGAGATCTAGTAATGGGACAAAACTTTTCGACGGTTATAAACGAAAAAGCACGATTTAACGGTAGTTTTAACTCCAATTTTGATGATTTTTTAGAGCTAGACTCTTTAACCCTATATGAATACAATTAACTAATTTGATCGTCAATTTAAAATATTTACACAAGTAGATACCACAAAAGAAAAAAGGCAATACAAGAACCCCAAAAGAAAAGGAAAATGAAAAAAAAAAAAACACTTTGCGCGACGTAAGTACACCTATTTTTGTACTAGCTGTAAAATACACATTCAAACTCTTCTTCTTCTTCTTTTTCTGTTTATTAGCTAAGGATGGTAAAGTTGTATGATTAAAGACGACCGTCTCAACTGATCAAATTCATACTATTTTATAATACAATTCATTTCCATGCGCGTGGAAATATATATTTGGTAAGAACAATAATATATATGAAACAAGTATTTGTTTCCAATTACCGATTGTTTGTATCAAATTCATTTTTTTTTCTTTGACAAAATAAAGAAAAATAATATTCAAACATTCCTTTTTTTTTTATGCTGTCAAATAAGGTGACAGTAAAAATGGAAAGTTTATATGTAAGATTTTGACAGAAAGATTTTGATAATTAATACCCGTGGATATTTGTATCTGTATATATGTAAGAAAATTTTACGTGGTTTAAAATCATGTAGATGCACTGTATGGATATCAGATTTTGGAATTATTGCTAATAACTAAAACAGATTACGATATTAGGGAATTGAAAGAAAAAAAAAGAAAAAGATCTGACACACACATATATATGTGTGGTAAATTAGTATATATACTCACTCGAATATTTCATGAGAAACATTTCTATTGTACTCGTTACGAAACTGTGAGTGAGAGCTAGCAAATTATAAAGCAGAAGAAACACAAAACCGATTTATTTTCGTCAAAACAAGGAAGGTCTGTGGTGAGTTTCTTGACAAGTATTTTTCTGATGAGAACCATACGTATTTTTTTCTCTTTTATACCTTTTATTAGTATATTTTATTTCCTAAATTCTACCATTAAGCTCAGTTTAAATGTTTTGAACTATCGGAGTTATAAGTTTTTCTGTGTACACGTGCTTCACTTGTAATATGACGTATGGTATATTGGCCCGTGATCCGTGTACAGTGCTTCACTTGTGATTTTCTTGTTTTTTATTTTAGCTCTAAAAAATTTAAAATATAAGGTTTATGTTGATACCGCGTTTTATGATTGGTTGATGTAATAAAAAGAAAGTGTAGCGACACATTTCCCCCACATATGACAGAAGAATGAGGGAAAATTTAATTTGGACTATGATTGATAACAAGCATCTCACAAGGTTACGATTTACAGCTTTTTCACTATAGGTTTATTTAAAAGTATGGTCTCACCACATGAATCACAAAAAAAACATGGTGTGTGTATATATATATATGTGTGTGTGTGTGTGTGTGAGGTTACGATTTACAGTTTTTTCACTATAGGTTTATTTAAAAGTATGGTCTCACCACATGAATCACGAAAAAAACTTGGTGTGTGTATATATATATATGTGTGTGTGTGTGTGTTTATCCTTCCATTTGTTATTCAATTAGTATTTGAAGATATCAACTTCCCTTGTAAAAATGGTAAATTTGATTATTGTGTATTAAATAAATGACTGTGACAGGGAGAACTATGGAACCTGTGCATGTCAATGGTTCTGTCCACAAAAAGGCGAAGGTTGTTTTTATAATGGGTCCGACTGGGTGTGGAAAAACCAAACTTTCCATAGACCTAGCTACCAATTACGGGGGAGAAGTAATTAATTCGGACAAAATCCAAGTCTACAAAGGCCTGGACATTGTCACTAACAAAGCCACAGAATCTGAGCAACGAGGCATCCGTCATCACTTGCTAGGGTTCGTAGAAGACCCCGTAGCTGATTTCTCCGTTGATGAATTTCGTCGTCGTGTGCAAACTTCAATCGATGAGATCACAAAGCGTAACTGCCTCCCAATCATTGCTGGCGGATCCAACTCTTATATCGAGGCACTCATCGAAGATCCAGTGATTGATTTTCGAAATAAATATGATTGCTGTTTTATATGGCTTGATGTGTCGTTGCCTGTGCTATATAACCATGTGTCCAAAAGAGTTGACGAAATGGTGGCTGCAGGATTAGTGGATGAGCTTCGTGAAATGTTTGCTCCAGGGGTGAATTATGATGGTGGCATTCGCCGAGCAATCGGAGCTCCGGAGATGCATCCATACTTCATGGCTGAAATGAACAACAATATAGTAGACGATGACAAGGTTCGTAAGGAATTTCTGCTGAAAGATGGCATTTGGAAAACCAAAGAAAATACTTGTAAACTTGCTGAACGCCAAGTGCAGAAAATTAAACTTCTCAGCGACAAATGGGATATTCATCGTATTGATGTCACTGCTGTGTATGAGAACTGTGGAAAGGAAGCTGTGGTTGCCTGGGAAACCTTGGTTTTAAAGCCAAGTTTCACCATTGTGGGTGGATTTTTGAAGAAACATGGTTGAACTCTGCTGGAAGAACAATATGGAAGATACATTTGGAAATCACAATAAGAAGACGTTAGATCACATATGAATTGAAGACTTGGGATTGATCTCAGAATAATTAAATGGCGTTTAGCATTGAAATATGACGTGTATTGTGAGATCATGAACAATCCTTATTTATAATTACTAAATATATGTCAATCAAGCTTATTATCAAATGTGTGATAATAATAACAACAATCTTATATTTTATGTCTTACCAAAATTAGTCTTACTAAATATAATAAATTTGGACAAATGAAATGAAATAACTTCACATGATTAGTCTTAACAACAATCTTATAAGTTTCAGTTTTTAATTAACTTCACATGATCATATGACAAACCTGTTTTTCTCTTACAAATGAAATAACTATCTTCATTTGTTGGGTTACCTAACTCTTACAGTTAAAACTACGGTCCGGTGATATTTCTCTTCACTTCTAAGTAAGTCTTAGGTTTGAATTTCATGGATGACAAGTTCGATACCAAATTAAATTGTTCATTGTGACTTTGCCGAACTCCTCATTTCATTGATGTAAAATATAGCGTTGTACTTAAAATAAACTCTCAAATCCAAAATATTAACAAATCCCAACAACTTTTTTTAATTACATCATTCCAGTGATATTTTGTAAGAGAAAAACATGTCCGTCATCTAATCGAGTGAAGTTAATTTTAAAAGATGATTGATGTTGTTTCAAAAAATGGATGAGATGATTGAGATCATAGGAGTGGCAAAGGGTAAAGTAGACTTGATATTCGTGTTGTGTTTCTCGTATTTGTGTCGTTTTCGTGTCATATCCGATAACTTAACGGATCGTGTCGTGTAATATCCGTTAAAGTAAACGGGTAATATGACGCGACCCAAAATCAACCCGTTAATATTATCAGGTAATATAACCCGACCCATTACCTATTAAGAAAAATATATTTTAAATCAATGAAAATGAAAATGAAAAACATAATTTGACCCAAAAAAATGTAAAACATAATACTAAATTAGTATATACATACTAAATTTCGGAATTGACCCCTTCATGAAAGTTGTAAAGCTTTTCATTACGAATGATTACATTTTTCACACTTCTACAATAATTATTATTAATTTTGCACTCAAATAAAAAACATTGTTCATGAGATTTGGAGGGTTTTCAAAATCTAAACGACCATGTAACCATCGTCTAAGCTTTGATGATGCAATTATGAACGTTTATTATGCTTTCATATATTTCATACTTATAAATTAATGATTATGAATTTTGTTTATTTTGAGCTCCCTTAAAAATACTATTCATGAGAGTTTGTATGGTTTTAAAAATTCAAACGATCATATACCCATCCTCAAAGCGTAGAGGATGCGACTACGAGCGTTTGAGTATTTTTTTCATATTTTTTGCACATGTAAATTAATTATTATAATTTTTTAATGTGTTTGGTATTTTTAAATTACTTGATATTTTTATTTTTAATGTGTTTTATGATTTTTATTCTCAATCTTTGCCAATAATATACTATAAAAATAAATAAATAAATAACACTTAAATTTTAAAATTTATATAGAATAATAATTAATAAACAATATATACATATTCATTATATCTATTGTATTTTATAGTAACTTTTTTTTTTGTAGTTTAAAAAATTAAAATCATCAAAATAACTTTTTTCTTATCGTGTCGAAATAGGTTACTCGTGTATCACTCTCGTGTAAACCTGTTAAAGACCCGTTATTAACGAGTTATTATCGTGTGACCCGATAATGACCCGATTAGTTATCGTGTTGACCCGAAATCCTTTATTTTCATGTCGTGTTAACGGATCGTGTAAAAAATTGCTAAGTCTAGGGTAAAGGTTAGGATGTCGCGCAAATACCTACTCTTCAAGTCGTATTAATAGAGTAAATTACATTTTACACCCTCAAATTTGGGTGCAATTACAACTTCTTACAAAATCTTTAAAATATTTCAATTTTATACCTTTACTATTATTTCATTTCAATTTCGTACAACCGTCTCAATTTCTATTATAATTTCAATTATCTATTTATGTGGATCTCATGGGCCCTATATACATGAGACATGTGGATTAAAAATTTAAAAAAAAAAATAATTATAGAAGGGCTCTCTCCTTTTTCTTCAACCCACCCTTTCCTTACTCTCTCTCTCTCTCTCTCTCGGTCTCCACCCACCCCTCACTCTCCTCCCCTCCTCACCCAATTCTGCCTACAAAATGACACCCACTGCTACCTCCAGATTTCAGGCTTTCAGGATTTTTTGGGATGTGACCGATTTGCCTACCCTGCTGAAGTTGCTCAGGAGACCTCGTTGCACCACCGCCCGCAGCCACTACCAGTAGCCAAATGGCCATAGACGCTCAAAGAAGACCAGGGGTCTAGGAGCACGAAATCATGAGCCAAGAAAAAAAAGAAAATCAATAATTCAAAAGAAAGGCATAGTTTTTGTTCTCTACAAAGGGTTTAGGGTTGCAATTCTGCAGAAAAAATGAAAGGGGTTGCGATTCGAAATAAAGGGGTCCAATCCCAAATCGGAAACATCTTTGTCGTTGTTAACAAAGGAGTTCTAAGGGCTTGCTATTCGCGATTCCGCCATCAGGGGTGGGGGAGTAGGTTGTGGTTTTGGTGGTGGAAAGGATGGGGGACGAACAAAGGGGGAAGCGGGTGCAGATGAATGGTGGACACCTGTTCGAGATAATAGGTGGTGGCTGAGGATTTCCTTCTCCCCGACGACTTAGATTTCATCGGTGCGTCGAATTTGGGGTATCTGAATCGGTTACCTCTGCGATTTCGGTTTTCGACGAAGATAAAGGGGTTTTGGTCGGAGTTAAGGAGAGAAGAGGGAAGAGGGCGTTGTCAACTTTGCCGTGGGAAGTCGGGTTTGAGATAGGGCTCTTTGATTCGAGGGCTTGGGGTTTGAAAATCACCAAGCAGAGACTTGGGCTTTGTTCCATGAGGAACATTAGGTCATAGTGGTAGTCTGACATCGATGGGGAACGGCGGTGGAGCCGTCATTTGAGTCGTCTAGGTGTGTCGGGTCGTTGGAGAAGAAGATGAAAAGTGGCTGCAGCTACTGAGTTTGAGGCTGGAGATTTTAGAAAGAGATAAGTGGCGTCATTTTGTTTTTTTTTTATTTTTTTTATTTTTTTTTATTTTTTTTTTAGAGAAGTACGATATTTATTGATATAATATAAAGATGTACAAAGTGGAGGATAATGTGCTTAAATGGGCCTTGATAAAAATCTTGACGGGGCTTTCAACCCTGTCGAAGGGAAAAAGAGCATTCCGCACGAACAACTAACTTTACCTATCCTCACACTAAGAGAGAAACAAGCAAAATTATAAAGAGTTGTCTTCCATAAGAGTATCCAGCAATAGCTCAGGAGTAGTCCTCCTCCATTGAAATTCATCAATCCTGCCAATCCCAGATCGAGCAAGTCGATGGGCATCGGAATTGGCCTCATTTCTAACATGATTAAGTTTAACATGGGCAAGTTCCAGCAAAAACAAGCGGATGTCATTGATAATAGGGCCCAATATTGAAGTGACATCCCTTGTATTCATCATAGCAGCCAACGTGATTAATGAGTCTCCTTCAAACACCACTTGAACATCGCGGGATCAAACTTGAATTACAAAACAAATAGCCCTACGAGCTGCAATCATTTCAACATGCAGGGGTGAAGTCACTAATTCGAAACTCCCTGAACATGCTGCAATAAAATAACCATTGCAGTTACATAAGACTAACCCCAACACCTCTAATTCGCGTTCTTTCATTCCACGCCCCATAGAAGTTACACTTGATCCATCCCCCCTCAGGTTTGTGACATCGTTGCTTCTGCACAATTTTTGAAATCTTGGGAGGTGGATGCCATTTTTGAAAAGCTTCCAGCCATTCCATAACTCGCAAAGAGACTTCACTTGACGACGTTTGATTTCCATTCCATAGTAGGTAATTCTAGCACCCCAAATACTTCACGTAGCATCAAAATTAACTCAAAGGTAGCCTTCGTAGCAGTATGAGCTAACCCAATCAACCAATTAAGCAAACTCACATTACTACCATTCAGTGGCGGATCCACAGTGGGGTCATTGGGGTCGCGCGACCCCTTGGAAGCCATGGAAGCAACCTTAGAGACCCCTTGGACTGGTGGTGCGACCCCTGGTGCGACCCCGTTCGCTGCACACCAACTGTTCGACGAAAGGTCGTCGGTCTGGGCAGGTTGGATGAAGAAGACGAAGGCGCTGTGGCGCCAGTTTGTTTTTAAAAAAAACCTGGGCAAAACGACGTCGTTTTGGCCCAGGAAATTTTTTTAAATGACCTGGCCAAAACGACGTCGTTTTGGGCCAGGTTTAAACAAAAAAAAAATGCCCAGCGTGTCCTGGGCAGGTCTGAACAAAAACAAAAATACCAAGCTTGTCCTTTCGACCTAATTTTGCACAGAGCCTTATTTTTGTGCCTTTGCTAGTGGAACCGAAAGGCTCTGCTTTTTATTTTATTTTTTCATTGTTCTTTGCAGATGTAGAGCTGGAATGTAGGATTTTGAACAAGGATTTTGGAGTAGCTGGTCGTGCTATCCTACCAAGACCCGATGAAATGACGATATGCATGCCGTTTCTGTTAAAAAAAATTTCGCGCTGCGCGCGCTATCCTTAATGACCCCCCAAACATTATTTCTTGGATCCGCCACTGCTACCATTGCTGACCCTCAACCCCAGGTACGAAACCCGCACTGCAGTCGCCATGGGGCAATCTCTCAAAACATGGTTAATAGTCTCTGATCTTGAAGCACAAAATAAGCATATATCGTCTGCCACTATTTTCTATTTAGCTAACTTCGAACGAGTCGGTAGGGAATTTAAACAACCCCGCCATCCCAAAATTATTACTCTCCCGGGACACACGCTCCCCACACCTTCTTCCATAGAACACGCTCACTATTCTTTGAACCCGAACCAT